TCAGCTAGGATGAAGGCGAACATATATCCTCCTCCAACAATGACTTTCTCGAGAAGTTATTGTCTTTGATAGGTGCACAGAAGTACTGGGAGGACGTAGTAATTACGTCCAATCCCAAGACCTTCGATGGTTGCGTATGGGGAGTGCGGCAATGGCGATCTTTGGGCCCTAACAAACTTCAAATTGATTTACAGAAGTCGTGGTATCGGTATCAGCTGTAAGCCTGAGGGGCCGAGGACTTGGAGTCATGAGCAGTGAGGAGATGGGAATTCGGAGGCTGACTTACATCTTAACAACGCCTTTCTAGGAAACTAGGAAAAGAGGAATTTTATGAGAGTGTATAATGAGCTTCTGTGAAAAAAAATTGAAAATGTGATCTTTTCACGCACGATTATATCCATCTACCTTAAGAGTATCAATAGTAACTTCGAATTCGTTCACCTGTCTTTCTGCTGAAGTTACTTTTTTCTCCAAATAGGCGTTGGAATATCGAACTCAGCGACCTATTCAGTTACCTCCACTTTTCCCCACGGGCCCTTTCCCTGAAGGAAAAGTTGAACCCGTTTGGTTGTTGTGCTATCACTCTGGTGGACAACAGTACTGCAATAGTGGCTGGGAGAAGGTCTTCGCAGGTGGCATGTTGTCCTAATATGTGGCACCTTACTCCTGCTGGTGAACCATCGTTATGTGGCGGTTGAATGGTGATAGTTCCCCCACAGGCACTGTTGACATCGACGATCCTGTGGCTGTGATAAGGAAGGAACTGTTGGAAGAGCTGGGCGTATCTCGGAGGTCTCTCGATGTTCGTTTGCTTGGTGAGTTTACTATCATGAGAGTTCACTTCATTTTCTTGTTGACATCTTGAAATGGATCGTCCCCTCAGGTCTTTTCAACACTGGTGAGGAGCAGGCCTATAAGCCAGAGTTAGTCTTTGTCATCGACTTGGTTGACACAAAGGCTGAAGATATCCTATCGAGACAGGCTGTGGACAATTGGGAACATAGCAGGATACGAGCGGTAGGGCGGTCGGCTCAATGGTGGGGTGGTCGTATGTAACATGAACTTGGAGTAAGTGCTGTGGTTAATAATAGTGAGTAATAATTTTTCATTACTGGTGATGGTTTTTATTAATGGAGTTTCACCCTAGTGATATGAAAAACACTAGTGAGAAACACATTTGACGGCTACTGCATATCACGGCGAATATCGGGTTTTTTCCACAGAGTATTACGCCACTTCACGTAGAACGGGTGAAACTCCGTTGATAAAAAAGCAAGTACTTGAGGATAGACTCGTCCTTCAATTTAATAAGGGAAGTACTTGAAGATGGACCTTCCCACTCGTCCTTCAATTTAATAAGGGAA